TAATTTTTATATTTTATTTTTACATTTATTTATGAATAAATATTTGCATGACCAATTTTAGGACTTTGGGAATTTTAAGTTAACGGTTTTTTTCTCTTATGTATAATATATATTTAAAACTAAATAAAAAATATTAAGAGTGTAAATGGTTTATCTTTATTTGACCATTATATAATTTTTGTTTTCAATAAGTACTACAATAAATAATATAGTTTATTGATTAATAATCATATACTATTGAATAACAGCAGCTAAATTCTAAATTCTAAAGTGCTTGTTGAAATTGATTGTGAAAGTTAGGCAATCTAGGTTAAATTCTTTCAAATTTTTTATAGCTTGTCTCTGGGATAGGCAGTATTGAAGTACGGAGATACCTACTTGTATTCTTGTATCACATACAACAGTTCTTGTCATTTATCTTGAATCTTCTAAAAATACAAAAAATTATGCACTGAGCTCGACTTTTGTTTATTTAATTTCATAATTTTAACGGTATCCAGCACTAAGTAAAAAAGTAAATGAGCACACGACGGTATATATTTATACGAGAGTGTGAGACGTCCAACTCGTATTTAACCTGTGTTATTTTACAAAAAACAGGTGTCGACCCCTCCGTATCCTAAACTAATTAACCAATTAGCTTGAAATATCATGGGCTTAGCAGTGTACTATATAGATGATACTTTTCAAATTACAAGTTGGTCAGAGGACTATAGCAGTACTGAGTACAGTCTGGGAATTATGCAAAAGTATTGGCACGGAATTGCTCTAAACGCTATTTTTTAAGCTACAAATGTCAATATTTAGGTACGTATAATATTGCAATGGAATATGGATGTGTTACACCGTTACACACTAAAGTATTAACATAATTATTCTTAATAACTAAAAAGCATTAACTATATCTTAGTTCATGGACTCATGGTAATAACTAATACAGAATAAACCTTTAAGACATAAATACATAATATTATAGTCTTCTGTGCGCCTACTGTGTACACATGTATAGATTTAACATCAATGGCGCCGAGTACAGTAAAAAAAAGGTGGTTCAACTCTAACCAAAGCTCACCCACCCAATTTATTATTCAAACTGAAGAAAATATTTGAAACACCTAACCACACAAAACAGCTCGCTTCGCTAGCGAATAACGCGTATTTTATCAAATAACGAACCTACCTATGTCTTATTTTATTATCAGTATCAATTGTAATAATAGTCACTGCTCATTATTCACAAACATTTCAATTGTATACATTGATACAATATTTATTTTAATTTGTTTAAGAAATAAACAATCTATAGTCTATACATTTCATGCTCAATTAGTTTATGTGGTAAGGGTAATAACATAGACATACAATGTTGAATAAGAAGACACTCATTGTCGGCATATGGTTGTCACTTGTTCCATGTTAGTCGGATGAGTTCCACATGTACACAATATGGAAAATTATTTTCATTCTTTCCAATTTACTATTTAGTATCTATATTCTACTAATATAATAGGATATGTCCTAGCTGAAAGACTGATCAACGTAAGAGCCTCAACTAAATTTTCCCAATATTCTCATTTAAAAAATATGTAAAAAAAATATTTTTTGATTATAAATGATGACTATTGGTTACAGACATGGCAATAGTAGACATTTTTAGAAATGAGTATTTTTTGTATATCATAATACTGGTTGTCATTGGTAACGCATACAGATAAGGTAAAAGCATGTATCATCGTCACATTACTCACATTTACGTGTCATTGATTTAAGAAACTATATTTAAAAAGGTTAAAAACCAAATGTATGTTTGTAGCTTATACACTCAAAAACATCTCTACTGAAATATTATACAAGTTGAGAGAGTAGTTTTATTTACATAAGAAATATAGCAAGTGCTAAATCCAATCCGCGACTTTTGATTACCTGCAGTGTATGTCGGATTATTCCACAAAGCTAGGTAAACGGACGTCCGTGTCAATTATTAATAACTCAACATGAGTTGAAATATTTTGAACGTTTGGTGGAGTATAAAAAATGTTTATATGTACATTCAGTAAAAGTTGTATGAATCTACGATCATTTGTTTTAGAGTTACACCAAAAATCAAAATCTATTCTGCTTAAAAATTCCCGTTTCTTCTTAATTTGTTGTTTGTTTTTCCCAGCGCTTTTGAAAAGTATTATACCTTCCATCATTACCAGTTACCACAGCATATTATTATTTACTAAATACATTGAAACTATAAACAGAAACATATTACTACATACTGCGTAAAAGGTGTATAGATTTATCATAATAATTATAATATCTGACATATTATCACTATGACATTTATAATGGAAATCGACAATTATTGTAATAATTTCAATGAACAAATTGTCCATCAATAGTTGGATAAGTTGTTAAGCTTGTACTCACATATTATGTCGTTAAGTTCAGGTGGTTTTCATAAAATCTCTCGATACATTCTAAGTTCAGTTCGTTGATACATGAAGATGGATGAAGACAACTATTTATTCGGCGGGATACAGCTAGTGTTCACCGGAAGAGTCTATGCTTATGTTTAATCTTGTTTTCTTATTATTTTGGGGCTTAAATGTACATTTTAGACTTACATTAAATATTTATTACCACGGCAACAATCCAAATGCTGTCTTCGTTTCACCACGCAGGAATTAATACGTACCCATTTTGCCTATACTATACGCCGGGTAACACCTTATAGCCCATAGGTTTGCCATAAGTATTTAAACAATATATTATTAAACTTTATATTTTATATACATTATACACCTCATATTTATTAATATTTAGATTTTAGAGTACTTTATACGCTGGATATGGGTATTCAATATTTCAATATTTTACAATTATATATTTTACTATAATACTGCCATCCCCCACCCCCGGGGCATGGCAGAAACCTACGGGTGCCCCATTCGAAATTCTGCCAAAACAAACACACACGTGTTCCCTCCTACCGTACCAAAAACCTACAAACCATCAATACAAAAACCTACGATACCTACTAATAACTAATGGCCACAGTTGCCGGGCTCAGGATCAAAAAAAAAAAAATTTTACTATAATATTATTATTTTCACTGGCCTAGAATATTTTATATTATATTTCAATATTTTTATTGTTATTATTACTAAAATAGCCGGTAGGTTGAATTAACAGGATGCTGGCAGTGCAGCACACTGTTTTCTCCCTCTGGCCCTCGACAAAACGGATTATTTTTTATATTTTTGAGTAATCCGAGGATAAATTACCCATTATGAAAACGATAGAACATAATATTTTGGAGGGTAATTAACAAATTAGTTTAAATATAATTTTAATTTTTTTTTTATTAAACCATCCGAAGACATTTTTTATTATAACGATCAATGATCTTTAAAAATACATTACAAAGGTGTACATAAATATTAATGAATACATATTTTGGTAAATATATACAAAAACATGTTTGGGTAATCACTCCCAGTGGAGGGGCCCCAGTCTTAGTCAAATATTTATACTAAGTCATATAGTCTTCGGCGTTTGAGACGCCTTATATCTTGAGAGTTATCAAGTAGTTGAATTGCTGCTGGATTGGTGTGTTGATCTAGCCTTACTCGTGTTTTCGTGCAAACATAGTAATCTCGTCCTGGACGGAAGTCATCATCAAATCTCGATGGATAATATCATTTCTGTCGTACCGGTATGCTGCGACAATAGTACAGTACGGAGAGCAATGTTTTGGCAGCGTTGAATAATCTCAATATTGGAATGACTGGCCCAACCCCATAATTGTATTCCATAGATCCAAATTGGTTTAATTATCGCTATGTATAAAAGACGTTTGCTTGCAATTTCAAGTTCAGAATATCTTCCGATCAGCCAATAAAGTGACCTTATAGTTCCTCTTTAATTTGCAGTTTTTTTAGCAAACGTGATGTTTCCAATTTAATCGTGAGTCGAGGTGCATCCCTAGATATTTTGCAGGGCCGTTCTGTGGGAATAATTTTAATTGACAATTTTTTTTTTTTTTTTTGAAAGTCAAATAAAAAGTCAGATTATAAAAAAAAATATAAAACGATACGTCATACTTTTAAAAATATTATCTTTTATAATTTTTATAATAGATGATTATACTCTAAGATTACTCAAAAATCATAAAAAGCAATTTTAGGTGAAAGTGCTTTATCTTTGTTCTGCGGGTCTGAGAGAGAAAACAAATATTACGCTGACGGCTGACATCCTTTTAATATTGTTGACATAATATTATCATATTTGTACATAAAATAATACACTTTAAAAGTTTCAAGTACCCACGAATAATATTTCAAATTACAACAGCATAATTAAAATCATTATTCATGGTTATTTAATGACACGATTAAACATATATTAGGTATATCTTTAAACGTGTTTAATGAGCACCTAATTTCGTCCAAATTAAAAAATTAACTGAGATGTCTTTAATATCTATTACATTATCAATCATCTCCAATGTCTTAACAAATATAACCTTAAAAAATAATTGTGTGAATTTTGTGTCATACTGTGTGACATGATTCAAGTGTCATACTGTCATAAATCTATATTATGCTATGCATTTTGACGTGGACATTAGGTAAAATCTTAAAACTGATTGTTCAACTTCAACATTTAAATTTAGTAGGTATTTAGTTTTAGACTTCAGAGATGAGAGATCGTTCTTGACACTGTCTGCTAGGTTTGAGCAAACTGATATCAATAGCCATGGCTGATATAAATCGAAATAAAAATATCGATATTCTATTTCAAAATAATCATAAAAAAATAATTGGTCTACAGCAGGGCTATAGGTAACTGAATTTTAATATGCACTAAATATGTGTAATGAGAATTATGATTATTCAGAAGTAAAAATAAATTTAAATACCGCGGTATAAATATCGATATTTTTCTCTAAACTATCGATATTTCGATAATATCGAAAATATTTGTGTAACCCTATATTTAGGTAGTAGTTGTCAGTAACTTCAAACTTGACTCATAATAAACTGATAAACTATTGAACTATCTTATGTTCTCTGTGCAGTTAGCATAACGACAACGATATAGTTTGCATCAGTTAACGCAATATTTTATTGAATTTCGAATCCGTCCCAGTATTTTTCGACGATAAATAATGATGCCCTTGATCAGCGATAAATCCATAGCATCGTCCTTGGAGAATAAGCCCACCGAAGAACCAAAAAAATTAAAAGCTTGTTGTGCTTGTCCGGACACCAAAAGAGTCAGAGATGCTTGGTAATATTATTTATTTATTTATTTGGTATGCAACGAGGTACTTGGTATTTTTGATTTAATGTTGTGTGTAGGCAAACCTATGTCTAACAATTTGTACAATTTATTTATTTTAGATGTTTAGGTCGTTTAGGATTAATAGTAGGTAATTAAATGTTTATCAATTTTCCCTGAAATTCTATTTTACATTCAGTATTAATACAAATTCATGGGCCAGAAATATGTTCTATATCCATAGGCCCATAAACATTGTTTTTTTCTGGGTGGATCAGCGTTATAAAAGATTTATGAGTTAAGAAGGGTTTTTTGTTAATTTAAAATGTGTTTTAATGAATCACATTATTTGGTTTCATTTATCAATGTATTTACTATCTGTTTTGATTTGTCCAAATTAATTGTGGAAAATATATTTTCAGAAATGTATGATGTCACGATATGCTAATATTTAGTGTATCTGGAATGAACTATTTTTTCAAAATGCAAAATTTTATATGCAAGAGATTTCCATACTTTTACATTTTTATTTTTTGCAATCTGTGCATTTTAATAAAATTAAGATTTTCATTTGCTAGTTTTTATTCCATTAAATGTAAGATTGAATAATGAAATAAAAAACATTTTGAAAGCCTTTACAATTTGTTTAATGCGCCTTTTTTGACAGGTGTGTCATTGGTTTTCCACTTTTATAATGTAATGTGTATTAACAAACAAGTAGTTCCCCTTAATTTGTGAATAATCTCGAAAATAGCGATATAACAGCTTGAGATTATGATCAAATTTACGATGTATAACTATCTTTTATATCTGAATAATCAGTTGGTCACAAGTGATTCTGATTTAAAGAGGTTTTACCGTATTTGTAAATTAAAAACATTTTCTGTTTAGTTTCATTAAATAAAATATTGTTTTAATATTTTGTTTCACAATTTCACTTTAATGGAGTTTCTCAAATTTTTATAAGAAATATACAATTAAGCACAATAAGTATACGTGAGAATGGATTAAAAATAACATTATTTGGGTTGCTTGATTAAGAAGCCACCCATTAGTAGCACTTAACTTGAAATTTACGTTATTATAGGATTAAGGTAAACCACACCATTTTCTTCTGAGTCTATGACGAGGATTTCTTGGAAGTGACATGATATGTAAGCCTTTTGTCAGAGGATTTTCATGGTTATCGAATCAAATATAAAAAATGTTTGAAGAAGATAGCAGCTTCTTCTCCTATTGGTTTGATGCCTAGATTTTTGTAAAGGGTCTAGTTAGAGACAAAGGGTGGAGCATTTATAATTTTATATATTTTAGCAAAGAATTATTATAAAGTCAAATATTTTGGAATGCCTGTATTTTATTTAAATTTGAATTTTTCTCCACTGTTGATTTTCATTTTAAAATTTAAAATTGTGTTAGGTATAATAAATACAGTTTAATATCATATTATATTAATGTATATTAGTAATTTGGATGTAAATTGTAGTGTTAAATTTTGTACAATCTCTTGTCAAAGTTCTACTCTAATATAATATTTTATACACTTAATCATATTTAACCATATAATAACATTTATTATAGCTCATACTATTTATAATATAATATATAATGTATATAAAAAAAAGACAGAACTAAATCAACAAAAATCTAATAATATTTTTATTTTGACAGTATTCAAGTATCATTATTATTTATTATACAAGTACAAAATATACCTTAAATCTGTTATTCCTAAAACTACATTTACACACAAACTTATACACATATATGTATATATATTTAACTATACTTTATGAAAACCCAAATTATTGATATTATTTCTAAAAATTAACTACAAAAAAATACTAGATTTATAAATTATTATTTAGCAATTAATTGTTTGATTTTTACAGTATTATGGAAAATGGAGAAGAAAAATGTGGGCATCTAATTGAAGCACATAAGGAATGCATGAGAAAAATGGGTTTTAATATTTAAATAGTAAGCATTCCTAAAGTCTGATGTAAATGTTTTTTTTTTGTACAAATTTACATTGTAGATACATTAATTTTGTCTAGTCTATTAAATGTATTAATTTAAAAACCAAACACTATTTATTTTACAAGTGCTTGTTCAGATAATAAATAAATACAATTATGAAAACAAATCATATTCTATAAACTACAATATTGTATTAAAATCACTACCTGTAATGATGGATTTTAAGTGTAATTATATCATAAACATTAAATTTAATTTAGTAACTCGTAATGTAGGCACTAAAACATTCTGAAAGTGTTAAATAATAAAATATAGTTCGTGTTTAGGCTATAATTTAATTTGACAGAATTTAGAAATGGAAAATTAAAATATAAACAAAATCTTTAAGCGCTGCAAAACTAATTGTAGTTTCTTGATAGTTGTTATGAACCACGAGTAGATTTAATTGTCTTGCCACTCTGCAACAATTAAAACATTATTAAGGATAATCATTGTAATGAACTGGTAAGTTGATAAATTTTAAATCTATTGGAATGGGGGGGGGGGAGTAAATATTATGTGAGAAGATGTATGAACAATGGTAGTTATAGCCAACTCTAATGTACAATAGGATAGAATTGTCTGCTCTCAGCCCACACATACAAATCCCAGGGAAAAAAATTCTCATATAAATTTAAAATATTACTGTCTATTATTTATTGACAGAAAGCGATTTAGGTATCCTGGTATTAACTAACTGATACGTCACTCACCTCAGTGAATTTATTTCATGGTATCTAAACATATATTTTTTAATGGTGACCCTAAATAATCATCTAGCGACTCCCAGTTTAAGAATCGCTGATCTACCTAATTATGGATCGTCTACAGCAGGCCCGGATAGAGCCGACGAGTTACCGAGTTGAACTTGGTGGATCGCTTAACATTTAGGTCGGCTTAGTAGTATATTTATTATTTATCTATGTCAATTGCTTAATATAATATGTATAATTGTATGATAAATGATTCTATTGTTAAAATATGGATAGCTATTAATAACTGTATCTTATTGAAAAATGGGCCGTTAACTTTTTTAGGAAAGGTTAAAATCGTAAAACTCGGTGGGGCGATATCTTGCCTATCCAGCACTGGTCTACAGACGGAAGCAGATTGTTCAACATTAATTGTTTTTTAAAAGTAAAATATTTGAGTTACAACAACTAAACAATAAATATATTTAATGATTCAATTGCATAGGTACCAATATTACTAAAAATCGAATAATTATTATTTCCATTAGCTAGGTTAAGCATAAAAGTTGTTAAGACCTACAAATCTTAGTTAAATTACAGAAAAAATTCTACTTACTTCAAATTCTGAATCACTTGTGATTATGCCACTGACTGTGACTAGTTGATACTCCTTCGCTTTGAATGTGTACATAGATTTTCTTATATGTGACATAGTGGACATACCAGCTTCTGTTCTTAATTTATCGTAATGACTACTTGGGTCTAATACTAAAAGCAAAATTGTCCCATCAGATAGTTTTTCAACACCAACTACAGTTCGACTATGACCTAAATAACAACAAATAATATCATTATTTACTGGTGTAATTTATTAGCATTTACCAAGTGTGCAGAAAAACCCTGTATAATTACCTTCATGTTGTATATAAACTGGAGGAATAAATTGTTTTTTTCTATTGCTAAAATGTTCATACAACCAGTGAAACATTTCTGGATGAGTATTTTTCGAACCAGTCGGTTTTCGAAAGTCTATTAATAATGTTCTAAACAACCAAGTATATTGAGTTATTAGTTAAGATATAGACTAACATAATAAAATAAAAAATGTTAATCAGGTCATGCTTTTTTCCATTCATTGTAGATAAACACCCATCAGAAATGTGTTAAAAATGTCATTATGTCAGTTTATATGTTATTTAAAGTCAAGTACAAAGTTAAATCTGCATAATTTCTGTATTGATTGTATACAATTTCACAATGATATTATTTTCCACTTAATTCAAAATGAAACTTACTTAATTTTTAAAGCTGTTAGCATAGTAACAACTTCAGTGGCTCCGATCCATTTCTTAGTGTTATACACGGTACCACCTAGTTGTTCTCTACCAGGTTCGTCAATACCCATACTCCACGATTTCTCTAAATGTTGCTGTAATCTTGAAATGGATGGCATCCAAGCACGTGGTAAAGGTCCTTTCTCAACTTCCCATACTCTCGATATATGCTCATTGTAATCCATTTGTAAAAGCATACTGGACATCAACATTTGCATATTTCTGTATCCACATCCCCAGCCTTTGTCACCATAAGTTGATCTATAATGGTCGGTTGGAGAAGCCAAATGCAATTCTATTACATTTGGTGATGATGCACTGAAGTGACGAATGTACTCAATCAAGTCTAAAACAATTAAAATAAAATTGTATAATACCATAAATATTAAACAAAAGTATAAAATTCATATTAAAAATCTGTCAATATAATAATATTAAAATCTGTGTATTACAATAAGCAAGTTATGCTCACTGTAAGATACATTTTTGTTAGTAGAATCACTCTGAAAATCTCTTCGGTATGAATTTAAAAATGGTGACCTATCATTGTGCATTTTATTTTTTGTATTAATTACACCCGCTGAATTGATGTCAGAATTATATTTCACTGGTAAAGCCATACTTTGTTTTGATGATAGTGGACTACTACACGAGCAATCATTAGTTAGTTTTGGTTTTCTTAATATCAAAGTAGGAACTGCATAGTTTTTACTAGTACTGGGAGAGTTCAAATTTAAGTTACAGCTACTGTCTTGAACAGATTTTTTTGTATTTCGTTCACTTGAGTTTTGATTAAATTCATCTTGATAATATACTGTTTCACTTGATAGTAACATATTTTTGGAATATACACTTGATTCAGTTTTTTCAGTAATATTTGGAACTCGGTTTTTTGTATTCTTCAATTTTTTTCTACATACAATTTGATGACACATCAGTCCATTTAAATCTATGGCAATCTCACAAAATTCGCAGGGAATTGTAATATCATTGTTTCCATCGTTACTTAAATGATTATGTTTTGTTTGACATTCATCTTGATGAGTGTCTACATTTTTCAATTCAATCATTTTGTTACAAAACTGACAAGGCAAAAACACCGTCTCAGAAGCCATTTTGTATAAACTTCACATTAAAAATCCTTTAATTTTCACATTTAATAAAACAAATACAAGAAAAACTACAAAACTAAGAACTGAATATGTTTATAACATTATTTAAAATAACAATGGATATTAAATAGAATGTTTTATAAATGGTGTTATTATCAGTAGGTACTTATCAGTAACTACTTACAATTTATTACCAAAGGGAATATAAGATTTAATGCATGAATAGTTTAATTTCAACTATTGCAATAATGTTATTTGTATTTACTTAATTAACGCTCAATAATAAAAAAAAATATGGTTGACAACTGATAAGATAAAAATATCATTGTAATATTGTATTATAGCTGTTATTAAAATTATAATGTAACATAACTTAGATATAATTAGTTATACTTATTTTATTTTTATTTTATAGTACTGATAGAAATATAACACAAATCGCAAAAAAACTTCATTGACAATTTAGGAAATTATCAACATTCAACAATAAGTAATTAAATGTTAAATACTGAATACAAATGTTTATATTTAAAAATCACATACCTATTAATAGTATGTTGTATACATATTTTTATAAACCATAAATATTGTTAAAAGAAAAAAAGCAAGCTATAATATAAGCAATACAAATGCCTTATAATTTTCATTATATCAGTTATGTTGTTTTTTTGTGTAAGCATACTCAGTGAAAGCTGGAAGGTCAGCTAAGTCTTCATAGAATTAATTGAATAAATATGATAACTATCTGGCATAGTGAGAAAAACTTGTTTTTTAAAAAAAATTAAAAATCTTCAAAAAATAACAATGGAAGATTGTCTGTAATTAACAATACTTATTAAAAAATCCACATAGAATTAAATGCAATGTATTAATATAGAAAAAATTAGGTAGTCTTAGATAACAGAATTGTAGTGTTTCACAAAACAAAGAAGTCTCGTATAAGTAAAATACCAACAAAAATGTTATTATACCTACAAAAATCAAAACAAAACAAAATATTCAAACATTTGTAAGTGCTAAAAATAGTTCAAAAGAATCAAAAATATTATGAAAATTATATTAGAAAAAAAATTAAAATTGTACATGCATTTTACAAAATAAATTTGAATTATAAGATGATAATAAATGTGGAATTTGCACACATTATTATTAGTAAAAGTATGATCATAATATAACATATCCTATACCAATAGGCGTATACAAAATACTCATTACCACATAAACATGAAATTATTTATTATTATCTAAAAAATATTATATTAAATATCCTTTGAAAATGAAAAATTCAAATAACCATAGAATATTTTCTTTATATCACTGAAAATCAAAATACAAATGAAAACTTTTTTATGAAATTCTCAAATAAAGTGAACAAAAATAGTCAAAATAATTTGATAATATTACCATGTATGAAAAATCAGCCATTTTAACATTTGTTGTTATTTTTAAGTGTCTAGTATCATTTGTTTTTGAATTATAGTAAAATATCAAAAATTAATAGATGGAAATTTGGTCAATTACCGGTTTAAATCCACTTTCATAAAAATGTTTAATTCAAACTCTCATAAATAAATTAGTGTTAGTTTCCGGTAACATTTTTTTGTGAAGAATTTTTGCTATTAAAATGTATAATGTTAGCTATGGAAAGAAAACCTTTATGAATTTTAAACTGAAAAATAATTAGAATTTTTCAATACTTAAGAGGACGTGATACCTGCATGTGTTGTCTCCATCTTACAAGTGCATAACATAGCAAATTGTACACTCAGCAGAACACGCGTAGCTCCAATAATTTAAAAATTAAAGTGAATTGATCTCTTATAAAATCTAAAGGTAAGAATATATCTAGGAAACCTCATAGGCTTTTTATTATATTTTTGTTTTAACGCAAGTTGTAAGTATCTTAAGATGTATAAAAAATTTACAATTTTAAAATACTTATAACTGGCGTTAAAATTAAAATATAATAAAAAACCTAAGAGGTTGCCTAGATAATAATCTTACTTTTA